GTAAAGGCCATTAGCAAAGCCGAGCCCGGCAGAGCACACAGCAGCCCTCTGGCCGCACTCTATTTGCATCAGAAAATGTTTATAAGCTAGAAGATGCAACGAAAAATACTGCTTGGGGACGGGTGGGTGCCCCCATAGCTGGACAACAGTGGCGATACCTGAGGGGTGAGACTTTGGGGCACCATTTCTCTCTGACGGAGGGCTCGGATGCCTGCCAGGAGCTGGACCAAGAGCCCCCAGCCCAGCGGCAGTCTCTGCAGTCCCAGTGGCTTCCGTCTCTGCCTGTTCCTCACGCTCTCCCCACTCCCCTGCCCCAGCTGCTTTCGGGGGGCTCATGGGTGGCAGAGCCTGCCCTCAGCACTGGTGACCGGGTGCCCATGTCTGCTCAGAGCAGAGGCTCACACCCGCCTCAGGGCTGCCCTGGCGCCCCCGGCCAGGCTTGGGACCTGGAGCTCCAGGAGCCGCTGGGAATTGCTCCCACCCCACCCAGGGCAGTCAGCAGAGGCAGGCAAGGAGCGCCCCCGGGCCACCACCTAAGCCCCCAGCCTGACTGTCAGGAGCCAGAGCCGACCAGTGCCTGCTGTCTGGCTGGCAGCCACTCACCAGTGCGGAGGACGCAGAGGGTGAAGAGGGCGATGGTGAGGGCGATGACGGCCACGGCCAACAGCCAGCCGAGCAGCCGCAGGTGGCCCTGGGCCCCAAGCAGGCACAGCCAGGCCAAGGTGGCGGCCAGCGGCCAGCTCAACAGGATGCCCAGTGTTTGACCGCACAGGGTCCGCCTCTCCCTGCAATGCCCTGGGTCCTTCAGCCACTGCAGGGACAGGGGCAAGGGGCTGCTGAGGGGACCCTGCCTGCCTGCCTGGGCCTGGGGCGGACGTCCAGGCCCTGCAGACCTTCTGCAATGTGGGTCTGCAGCGGTGGCCGGCAGGACCGGCCTCTGTCCTCTCCTTCCTGCAAATGCCTGTTGAGCATGCGATGAGCCAGGCCTGCCAGGGGACCCCATTTTACAGATGGGGCCACTGAGGGCGCAGAGGGGCTGCCTCAACTGTGTGAACTTACAGCGAAGCCCCCACAAAGCCAGGGCTGGAACCCAGAAGTCTTGCCCCAGGGCCTAAGGGTCCTTAGGACAGGGAAGGGCTTCACTCATAAAACTCAGGCAAGGGAACACAAAGGGTCCCAGCGCCCCCTGAGCTCCCATGCTAGTGGGGGGTGCTGCGACATGGGGTGACGGTCAGGGCGGGCATGGTCTTGTGGAGGAGGCGGCAGAGAGGAAGACCAAGTGAGCAGGTGGACCCACGTCAGGAGGGGAGGGGAGGGAGGCAGGGAGCGCGCTCCGGGCGGGCGCAGGGGGGAGGGCGGGGCCTGGACCATCTGCACGGGAGGGAGGCCGGTGTGGCTGGAGCCCGAGGCAGGAGGGTCCCTCTCGGCCTCCTGGTCTCCTAAGGGCCCAGTTACCCAGGCGGGCCAAGGGCATTTCCAGGAGCCTCACCACAGCCTAGGGACCTTACCCTGCAGCTCAGCTGCCCCCTGCCAAGGGACAGGGGAGGGAGGAGGCAGGCTGTGCCCAACATGCCCGGAAATGCCCTGTCTCGACCCCAACGCAGCACACTTGGGCTAGAGTCTAAGCTCCAGGGTGCTGCCCACATACCACATAGTGGCCCAGTGGCTGCTTCCACCCCCTCCAGGGCCACACTTCTCCTTTCACTTGCGCCACCCCAGCCACCTAGGCTGCCTCCACAGTACCACGCCTGTCTGGCCTCGCAGCCTCTGCACTTGCTGTGCCCTCTGCCAGGACTGCCCTTCCCCAGGTGGTAGGGCGGCCGTCCGGGCTCACCAAGGGACCAAAACAGGGAGGGGTACAGGGCCTGTCGGGTCTGGAACCTCAGGCCCACGAGAGGCTCTATCCCTAGGGAGGAGGGAGGTCCACCCTGCAGAGAAGCTGCTACTCCAGCCCCCCAGGACCCTCCAGGGCGGTCCCCTCCCCAGCCCCAGGCCTCCCTTCCTCCCTTCTGCCCACTCCCCCCTCAGCTCGCAAGGGTACCTCTGTGAGGGACCCAGGCCGTTTCTCCTGGAAATTCTGTGGATGGTCATCATCTGGTTTCACGTGTGCCACGCCCTGGGGTGGTTGTGCAGTGGCCTGCACGACCTCGGAGAGGGCGGGGCTGCTGGTGCAGTCACACATGGTGCTGGGGAGGTGGTAGCAGTCCTGCATTTGTGGCCGCAAGATGCCCTGTCTCCTCAGGGCCCGAGGCCCATGGTCCCAGGAGCCTGAGGAGAGGCCAGTGGGGAGGCTGAGGGGCACCGAGAAGGGCTTGAATCCAGCTCTCTGAGCCTCAGTTGCCCGATCTGCATGATGGGACTGGTAGGGGGGCTGTGAGGGTTCCGCTCAGCCCAGGCCTGGCACACAGCAGAGGCCCGCCGGGTTACATTCTAACTCTCCTAAGCAATGCCAGCCAGGTCCAGGCTTCAAAACTCACAGGCCACCAGTCCCCCATCACCTTTCGAGACATGGCAATGGGACCTAACAGCTGCTGTGTGGCAGGCCTTGTGCTTGGGTCAGGGGTCAGGGTCATGCCTGCCAGGCCTGCAGAGACTCGTCCTCCACAGACTGGACTCCTGGGGCTTGGCTCAGGGCACATGAGCCTGCCCTTCCTGGGTCAGATGTGAGCTGGAAACATGGCCTGACAGACCAGGATGGGGAGTCACCCTGAGCCTCTGGTTCATGGCCCTCAAGGAAGTGGCCCAGGCTGGGGAAGACCTTGGCACCTTGCCCCGCCCAACCAGCCGCCCTAAGACGTGCCTGTGTTCCCAAAGACAGGCAGAGGAAGACAGAGGGAGCCTTTGGCAGCACCCTCAAGTCTGTTCTCGGAGGGTGACTTCGGCAGTTCTGCCCCCAGCCCCAGGGTCTCACCAGCTAGAAGTTACTCTTGGCCACCTACTCGTCCATCCCAGAACCAGCCAGCAAGACACATGTGACTGCCTCTGAAAATTTCACAAAAGTAACAGGGGCCTCACTAGATGCCCCCGCAAAGCCGACACAGGAGCCTCTGGCCCCAACTTATTTCATGCTCAAGCCCTTATCTCCGGGATAGGGTCCAGAGGCCCCAGAAACACTCAGCGAGGTGCCCCCAGCCCCCAGGCAGCTTCTACCAACCCCTGTCAGTCAAAATTTGAGCCCCAAGGAGAGAAGGGAGGGTGGGAGCAGCAGAAGTTATTGACTAACTTTTGCACCAGGACCCTCTGCTGATGGATCACCGCCCTCTGCACAGCTCAGCCAGAAGCCCTCCCAGCCCAACGTGCCCTTCTGAGCCTCTGTGGGCCAGATAAGCCCGTATCAGCCCAGAGGAAGGAGTTGCTGGGAGGAAGGCTGTGTGACCAAGATAACATCGAAGGGGCAGCGGCAGGGCCTGCCATGGTGTGTGTGCTGCTGTTCCTCCTGAGACCCAGAACTTCCAGCTCAGAGGTCACCAGGGAAGCCGCTGGGCCGTCCATGGGAATTCATACAGAGGGGAACCCATTCCTCCTGCCCCTCCAAGGAGCAACTTAACATTTTTGCAAGTGCCTGGACATTACAAGAATCATCATTGATCCTGTATATCTATCAGGGGTACAAAAAAAACACTGGTAAATCTGCTAACACAAGGCCCTACAAATTGCCAAAATACTAAGAGCAGCTACTGGCCATTAAATGCCAACCGAATGCCAGGGACTGCGCTACATTCCCTAAACTATAAACAGTTTCATAAGTGTTCCCTTCAAAGTCACCTCCCCGCCGGGGCCTTCTCTGACCACTCGGCCGAAGGGCCACTGTGTCCATGCTGTCACCCTCCCAGGTGTGTCCCTCTCTGCAGTGCTCTGACTTCTTCATCTGCTTGTGTGACCAAGTCTGTCTCGCGCTCTTCAGTGAGCTCCCTGTAGGAGGGCAGGGGCGGACCTGCTCTCTGCCATCCCCAACGCCTGGCCCTGTGTCTGGCACAGAGTTACCGTATTCACTTCTGAGTGCCTGCTCTGTATACGCGCAGGGTGGGAGAACCAGGTCTTTTGACCCCCCAGAACCTGGTCTGCCGGTGCCCATAGCAGGAATCAAAGACATTCAGAGGCTAGAGGTCCATGCGAACCACAGAGGCCTGGGCTTAGAAGAGGCCAAACTCAAGTCTGGATGCAAGGATAGGGTGATTGCCGGCTGGTCTGGGCTCCGGGACTGCTGAAGTGGGAGTGCGCCAAGGCCTCAGGCAGACTTGGCTCAATGGCCAGCAGATGGATTTCACTGAGTCTTCACAACAAACATGGGACACAAAGCCAATCATTACCCTCATTTGACAGGTGACGGGACTGAGACTTGGAGAGAGGCAGCTACTTGCCCAAGGTCACACAGCTCAGAAAGGAAAATACTAGGGTTTCAACTTAGTCCAGTGAGTGCGTCTGGGACTCAAGAGATCTGGCTTCTTTTAAGCCCTGACTCTGTCACTGATGCTGTGTCCTCAGACAAGTCACTTTGCCTCTCTGGGCCTCCTCCTTCTCCTTTGTCAAATAAGTTGACAGCTGGTGGACTGTGTCTGCTGAGGGGCTTCCCAAGAAGGCACCCCCAGGTGCAGTTCCTCCAGCAAAGCTTGCCCTTGACTAGGCCGCTCTGGAGTGGCACTGGGGTCCCACAGCCTGAATTGATCTTCCTTTTCCTGAGGGCAGGAAACAGTGGGAAGAGGAGTCAGGGGGCCCTGATCCCCGCGTGTCACCTCCGGCAAGCTGCCTCACCCTCTGAGCCTGGGCTTTCTCATCTGTAAAATGGGGGTCACAATGCTATCCAGCTCACACATCCATACACAGCCAGAAGTCGATAATTATCAGCTCTTATTCTAACAACCATCATCGGCTTACAGAGCTGCTGGGTTTGATGAGACAAGGTTCAGTGGGTGCCTGGCACACAGTAAGTGCTCAATAAATGCTGTTACTATTTTTTAGGATAAATGCAGAGCTTGTGAAAAGCATCCACTTCCCTTCCCCCACCAGAGAGGCTCGTGTATACCCTTCAGTATTTGCACAGCCCTGCACAGGAGGCCAGGTTCCAATCCTGGCTCTGCTCTTATTTGCTGCGTGGCCCCGGACAGAAGACTTGACCTTTCTGAGCCATGATTTTCTCACCTGTATAATAGGGAACCTAGGGGACTAAATGTTCATCCTATAAATTCTGGCTGCCCTGTTTGCGCCCCCACTAACAGCCAGGCACTCCGTTAAGCAAGTCCCTTGTACACAGCGCCTGGGTCGTTATAAAATGTACTATTTTCCAGGCTGAGCCCCGCGCAGGAGGCTGGGGAAGGATGCTGGCCACTTACTGGCCGCCTACTGTGCGCAGGACGCTCTGCTCACCCGCCATCCCCTGAATCCTCCCAACAGTCCCGTTAGGTTGCGCTGGGATGACCCGGTTTCACAGACGGGGAAACCAAGGCACGAGGAGGCACCCACTGGCGCCGGACCCCGGGCATCTCCCGCCGCCCCCGATACGGGAATTACCACGGCTGAGGTCGAGGGTCCGAGCCCGGCCGTCCCGCGCGGGGCCAGGCTAGTGCCTCGAATCCGTTGCCGGCCCGCGAACTGCGCCCCCGGCCCCACCGGCCTGTCGTGCCTATTTGACCCGCGGCCGGCCGCGCACGCCCCTCCGCTCCCTCTGGCCGCGGTCCCGGCCCGGCCGCTCCGATCAGCGTCTCGAGCTCCGCTTTGGTCAACGGCTGCTGCGGGCCGTTCACGACTTTCTCTGCTCCGCACTGGCCAATCGGTGCGCACGTCCCGCCCTGGGAGGTGGGGCCGGAGGCGACGGGGACGTTCTCGGCCGCACAGGCTCAGCTGCGCCGCAGCATCCGGCCCCGCCCCTGCCGCTCCTCCCTCCGCCCCCAGCCCCGCCCCCGCCCAACCCGGCAAGGGGCGCGAGCGGGGTTAGTGGCGCCACCTGCCGACTGCCCACTTTTGTGAATAAATAAAAACCGTTACAGAATTCAAGGGTTTAGTGTTCACGCCTCCCCGCGCTTCTCATCAATCCTGGGGAAAGGAGGACAGACAGCCCGTGAAGTCACATTTACCAGAGCTGGAGAAGTTAGGAGGCCGTGGAAGAGCCTAAAGCCAACATGATTTATTCATGATTTATTTGTTCTTTCATGTATGCAATAGATGCATTTGCTACATGTAATAGTCATCAATAAGAGGGCCTTTCATGAGCCAGGCACTGAGCTCAGCTCTGGGGATTCAGTGCTGAGCAAGACAAATATTGCTGTCCTCCTGGAGCTCTATCTGGGGACAGAGACAGATGTGCAACGACCAATCATGTGATTACATTGTTAACTGTAAAGGTGATCCATTGTGGCAAGTGAGGGGCTCATGTCTTGGAATTATTATTTGGAAAGTCTAAAAATATTTCCTTGAAGACAAAACCATTGAATTGGCAGCTAAAGTAAAGATTAACTAGGAGGAAAGAGGGAGAAAGAATCTTAGGCACAGAGTTCAAGCACCTGCAAAGGCCTCAGAGGATGCAGAATTGCCTTGGCACTCGATTCCCCGCCGGCCCTGTCTTTGTTGAACATACAGATCAACCCAATTCCCTGTTACATTGTTGTGTGTACCAGCTTAGACTTCTCAGAAATGAAAAGATAAATCACAACATTTTTTAAAAGGTTACCTATAGAGGGAAGAAGTTGGATGAAGGGGATAGAGATAGAATCTAGACTCTTAAAACTATACCTTGTTTTATTTATTTGACTTTGCAACCACGTGACTATTTTATATAATTATATGTGTAATTATAAAGCAACATTGAAAACATAAAGATAGCCTTAAAAACAAAAATAAAATGAACACATCTGTGAATCCAGTTGGTGACCCAACCAACAGAGATGAGTGAAAAGCCATGGGCTATTAAAGGTGAACTTCATCTTATGTGAATATCTCAGACTTTTGAAAAGCAAAAGGGAAGATACTATAAAGATGCCACCAGCAAAGTTCAGGCTCAAAACTATATACAACTGACCTATTTCTTAGAAAAAAAAAGAGAGAGATAAAAGGAGAATCTATAGGTTAAGAAATCACATCAACCAGTTGTCAAGTGAATGGTGTTTAAATACTGATTGAAACAAGTTTTTAAAATTTAAGACAATCACTGGCTAGATATTTGACAATATGAAGGAACTGCTCTTTTTTTTAGGTGTGATAATGGTGCTGAGGTTATGTTACTGGAGTAAGTCTTTGTATTTTAGAGATACTGAAATATTTGCCGTTGGGGTACAATTGAGATCTGCACATGGGAAGAGAATAGGGTGACCTCCATATGGAGGCTCATTAGACTGTTGTGTGTTTAAAATTTTCCATGATACATCTTTAAATTTTTTGTTAATTTGAGGCATACATCTTCCCAGTTTTTTGTCTGGCATTTTCTTCATTTTTTAGGGCTTTCTGGCTCATAGTAGGCACTGCGTGGGGTGAGGCCCCATAGCTTAGTGGTTATAAACACAGCTTTGGGGTTCAAACCTGCTTGCTTCTTACTAACCATGGGACCCTGGGCAAGTCACTTATTTGTTCCCCACCTAGAAAGTGACACTGGCTGATTCTGTTCATGTCCTAGGGTTGTAGTGGATACTAAGTATTATAATATGCAAAAGACTTGATTTTTTTTTTGTGGGATCATATTCTTTTATGTGGCATAATCTACTTAGGTTAACACAGTTTCTCAAAAAATTGAACCCAGAATTACCATACAACCCAGCAATTCCACTTCTGGGTACATACACCAAAGAATTGTAAGCAGGGACTTGACCAGGTATCTGTACAATCATGTTCACAGAGGTATTATTCAATAGAAACAACTCAAGTATCTATTGATAGATAGATGCATAAACAATGAGGTGCTTCCACACACTGAACATTAGAAGGAAGGACATTCTGACACCTGCTACAACATGGATGCACCTTGAGGACACAGTGCTGTGAAATAAGCCAGATACAGGAGAGATCCTGTCTGATCCCACTCCTAGGAGGTCCCTAAAGAAGGCACAGCTATAGGGACAGAAAATGGACGGTGGGGCCAGGGGCCAAGGGAGAGGGTGGGGAGTGTTTCATGGGGACAGAACTTCCATTTGGGCAGATGGAAAGTTCTGGAGATGGGGGGTGGGGACGGCTGCATGACATGTGAATATACTTAATGCAGCTGAGCTGTGCACTTTAATATGATTAAGATGGTGAATTTTGTATAATTTTACCATTAAAAAAAGAAAAGAACAGTGCCTGACACAGAGTGAGCATGCTGGGTTTATTAAATCACTGCAATTAATTAAAATGGCATCACTGGCCTGTGATCCTCAAAGGGACAGGGTCACATCAGTGTAGGCCCTAGGCCTGGTCAGATCACAGAAGCTCCAGAAAGACTTGGTCAGATTGCCTGAAACCCTTCAGGGTGCTTCATGGCTTCATGTGGCCACCCTGAAGCCTCGGACCGCATTGCCCCCTCTCTGTGCCTGCCCTGCTCAAACCAGGGCAGTCAGTGCCCAGGGCCTGTGTGAATGGTCCCTGGAGGGCATGGCCCCCCGGATCCCTGTTCTCTCGAGGCTAGCCCTGGCCTGGATGCCCCCTCGGCCTGGAGCACGCACCTTGGCTCACTCCCACACCCCTCCAACCCACTCTGGGGGGGGCTTTGTGCTCCTCTGGAGGGACGTGTCTGAGAACAGCTGTGGGCACCCAGATCCCAGATGTGAGCGGTGGTGCACACTGGGCCGCTTACAGGAGAGATGCTGGACCCTGGGGAGAGGCAGAGGAACCCCAGGCCACCTGCCTCCTCTGTCACCAGCGTCCCCTCATTGGGGGACTGAAAGGCCAGCCTGGGATGGAGAGAGCTGGGCTGGGGCTGGCATCACCAACTTTCCCTGGGCAAGACCGTCTTGCCAGGCCTTGCTGGGACCCAGGTGAAGAGGTGGCTGTGGGTAGTAGGTGGAAGCAATTCCTGCGGCTGGGAATGTGAGCAACAGACATAGCTCACCCATTCCCAGGGGTGCCCAAGGTTCCGGCGGCTGGCAGCCTAGGACCAGGCAGTGGGATACAGGCCCAGCACAGGGCAGCTTGGAGAGGGCCCACCCGACGCTCACCCACCCCGGGACCCCCTGGTCAGCTCAGGGGGCCTGTGTGCTGTGGAGAGGCCAGACTCCCAGGCCTAGCCCCTCAGGGGCTGAGCCAGGGTGGCGGCCGCAGGGCGCGTGCAGCAGGAGCCCTGGCTCCGGAA